ATATACATATCTTCGCTTCTTACATTGCCTCTATAGACAATGTCATTGCCGACAGTGAATCTCGAATTGTATGCCCTGACACTGAGTGGTCCTTGTCGACACAGGCGTTCGACCTAATCGAAGCATCGTTCGGTCCTTTTGAAATTGACCTCTTTGCATCCCTAATTAACACTAAGGCTGAAACATATGTCTCCTGGTTCCCCGACCCGGGTTCTTGGGCGGTCGACGCCTTTAGTTTATCTTGGCACACGTTCTATTTTTACGCTTTTCCTCCCTTTATTTTGCTCCCTAGAGTATTGCGCAAAATATGCGACGACGAGGCCACGGGTATTTTAGTTATTCCCTGGTGGCCGTCTCAGCCATGGTTCCCCATGTTCCGACGCCTTTTAATTTCGGAACCTTTAATTTTTGCACCATCTCATTCGCTTTTATCCTCTCCTTCCAGGTCTCAACATCCGGAGTGGAGAAACCTTTCCCTGGCTGCAGGGAAACTATCAGGCAAGCGCTACTAGCTCAATCAGTTCCTCCGGAGGCTCTAGAAGTTATGATCACTTCCCTGTCTACAGCGACGATCAACCAGTACACTCGACCCCTGAGAGACCTGAGAGAGGTGGGCCTTTTGCCAAAAGCACCGAATAGCGCCGTTTTGCCCGGAAGTAAATCAGGTTCTCGAATTCCTTTCTCAAGAGCTGGAGAATATAAATTCTTATTCGTCTTTTAACACTATGCGATCTGCGATCTCCCTTATCTCCGATAAGGCGATTGGTAGCCACCCTTTAGTTAAGCGTTTTGGTAAGGGAGTTAGCGTCGTCAGACCTCAGAAGCCACATTACGACTTTGTGTGGGATCCAGCTCCGGTAATCTTAAAATTAGCGGAAATGTTCCCTTATGAACCTTTGTCTCTGGATATTATCTCAAGAAAATTGGTCCTTCTGTTAGCTTTGGGCTCGGGACAGCGAGCGCAAACCCTGGCGGCGATTAAAATCTCCCATATTTTCCGAGAAGAGGATAAATTGTTTATTAGGATCCCAGATCGATTGAAGACCTCTGCCCCAGGTAGAGCGCAGCCCCTGCTTACTTTTTCGCTTTTTCCTGAGCGCCCGGACCTTTGCATTATAACCATTTTGGAACATTATTTGCAGCGCACCAAACCCCTGCGTCCTCCGGAGTGTAATTCCTTGCTTATATCCTGCGCGAAGCCGCACAACAGGGCAATTGGTGTCCAATCAGTGAGCCGCTGGATTCGCAGAGGTTTGGAGGAATGCGGGGTGCGCGGGGACCTCTTTTCTGTCCATAGCACCCGGCATGCCTCTACCTCCTTAGCGGCTAAGAAAGGGGTTTCTCTGGATCTCATCAGGCGAGCAGCGGGTTGGTCGGGGGAATCCCGAGTATTTGCTAGATTTTATAACCGCCAAATGGTTAACCCAGAGGCTTTTTGTAACTCGGTATTACTTCCCTAAATCTATGGCCACAGATTCTTTTTAAAAAAAAAAAAAAAAATGAGCTCCTATCATTCTGTATTTGTTTTTTCTGTATTATATTTACTATTTTTTGCGGCGCTTTGCGTTGTACACTATTTTGTTTTTGGGGCCTCATTAAGGGATGTTACTCGCAAACCAGGCTTTGAACATCTACATAGTTGTCCATCCGGACGAGACTTTGGCATAATTTTAAGATTAAACGAACTTACTAAGTGAAGTTCGATCTTAATTATGCCTTGTCTCGTCCGGATGGACCTTCCGCGCCCTAAGCGCTTACACGCTTCTTCCCTCCCAATGAGGTGGTTTGCTTCGTTATTTTTTAAAGGAATGAACTAGAGATGCGGCGCGGCGGGTGACGCGGGCGCCGTGACGGAGAGCGCCATCTCCGACCTTTGATATTTTTGTGAACTCTGTTGGCAGTGCAAGCATGAAGACATGACTACATAGTTGTCCATCCGGACGAGACAAGGCATAATTAAGATCGAATTTCACTTAGTAAGTTCGTTTAATCTTAAAATTATCCATAATGTCTATGTATTCAATATAATATTCCCAACGTTTTGATCTTCTTCAGTGTAACTAATAGTTCATTGAACCATTAAAAGGAGTGATCAAGCTTATCTATAGAGATTATCTTATGACAAAATAATTGTGTAAATTATGTTCTATGTCCATGTTTATAATATGTGACCTAACAGCGAAACGCGACTCTTGTTATAAAACTGACTATCAACTTCTTTGTCCACCAGTTATTATCTTTCCAAACTTACCTACTAGATAAAATAATTTTTGAGTAATTTCTTAATAAATAATAATTAAAACATTACAAAAAACTTACATGATATCAGATATATTATGTTGCCAGTTTGATAGTTACAGATCAAAAGCCGGGACATCGTTCGCATATATGTATAAATTATACTATCAACAGTATTAAGAAACATTAGAGAGATGGAAACATCGCACTATAAATAACAGACGTGAGAAATAAAAGCCAGATCTGAAAGTTTGATATCGTTTTTGAAACCATTTTTTGTTTTTGTAAAATATATATTATCTACGTTACTGAAAAATTATCTCTTTGTGATTAGTCGTTGTTTTTATGTAATTCTAATCGAATTTATGTGATAATTTACATCTATATATAGGTTGATAATTATATTATTATATAACAGAGTATTATTTGATGTTCTAATTAATATGGCTCTTTTATTCTCATTGTTAGCATATGACCCGTTTGACCCATATACGACGCATTGCAATTTTTACATTCTATTTTATAGACAACGTTGACATCATGAAAAGTTTATCTTTCAATATTCTTTTAATTTCACGTAGATTTATTAAAGCATATACATATATGCTATAGATATTTTGTCTCATTTCAGCCCCATCATATCTGAGATGATTCATATACAAAAACAAAAATGATTTAAATTTAAAAAATGACAGAAATTTTAGATTCAGTTTACTCAAATCTGTTATATATAGTGAGAAGTTTTCAATGTTCCTTAATATTGTTAACAGTAAAATTTATGTATGCAAACGACTCTCATTTAATATGTAACTGACAACTTTTAAACGTTCCATAATAGCACATCAAGTAAGTTTTCTTTGTAATGCTTAATTATTATTTATTAAGTAATCACTCAAAAATTATTTTTTCTAGTAAGTCTGAAAATTTGATGATGAGAACTGACGAAGAAATTGATAATCAGTTTTATATATGCCGCATTTCATCGCTGTTAGATCACCCATTATTTTAAAAACATCGACAGTTTGATTTAGTTTCCCTGTGAAAAAGGGAAAAAATTATTCTTCTCTATTCAATAGAAAATTATTAACTAATCAAATAATATTGGCAAAAAGAATGTACTCCTAACATGATTAAATTTTTATTGTTATTTTTGTCTCTCATTTTCGTTTTATAACCCTTAAAAAGTCACTCTTTTTGAATTATAACAACTTTAACCTTTTTTAAACCACCCTCTTGAGTTGACGATTTTGACAACTTTTTGTGAAGTTAAGTTGGTTACACTTTTAATTATTAATAGAATAATACACATATTTACTTAATTTAGTTATGATAATAACTCGAAATTACGATTATTAAATAATTATATCACTTTTTAAATAAAAAAGCAGTATATGGAATTAATATACAAAATTGAATAAAAATATTATAGTTACAATAATTATAAAATAGTTCATTGAACTATATATGTACATAATTAAACTATGTATGTACGTTAATCTTACATATAAAACTCTCTCTCGTATACACTCATCACTTTTATATTTGTCATCACCTATGACTTCTTCTCTGAGTACGAGTTATCTAATAATGTATTATATATGTGCTGTGCATTCGTGTAATATAACAAAGTTCGTACACTTAAAGCTACATCTTAAGGAAAGAAACACGCACGAGGAACTGTATTGTCGAGGAAATTCCAACATCTCAAAGGCCGTTGCAATTTTAAAACAGCATACGTGAACCCGCTTTCGACGTAGTTCTTCAGTTATCAATTATTCCTCGAAGCCGATATCGAAGTCACGGTGGCTTTCAGCTCTTCGACATGCAATCTCGCGAGTCTAGGAAGAACACTCGGTTCTATTAGATCAATTCATTTTAGCTGTGTTTCCTGCACCTTGTAGGAACATAAATATACAATATTATACACATATAAATATAGAGAACGATAGATATAAAGAAAATATGTAACAAAAATACATTTTTCATATATAACATTATTGTATTTATATTCTTGTACCTTTTGATTTCCAAATAACACAAATAATCCCAGAGGGTAGATATTATTCTTACTAAACATACAGAGAAAGAGCATGAATCACATTGTATGATTCAAAAAGCGCTCATTACAATGAATCACGTATGACTCACTGTCGGCAAACTTTGCTGCACTCATTACGCATATAAATATTATCATCTAACTCTAACTGATCGCGCGTCGCATGCAAGGTTGAAGATTGAAATTGTAACTCAGAGTAACGAAGTAACTTGCGATCGTAGCGAAAAGCTTACAGAAGTAAGCTCTCTCTCTCTCTCTCTCTCTCTCTCTCTCTCTCTCTCTCTCTCT